ATTTGAAATTTTACAGTTCGTGGCACAGCAAACTTTGAGAACCACCTGTCTTACTGGCACTGTTTTAACTCACAGTGTTTTTAATCTTTGTTTAAATAATACACATTTTTATAAGATGCATTGCTATATTCTATTTTTCATTTTAAAGAACTGATGTGACAAATTATTGGTAGAACAAATTGTGGCCTAATTTACACAAATAACACCTCTGCCTCTCCCCTTGCACCCAAGTCTCCAAGATCAGAGATCTTGATCAACCTCCCTCTCTGCTCCTTCATATTGAAAAACCTGGTAACTTTAAGATGTGTGGACTTCAACGCTCAGAATGCAGCCAGCATGCCAAGTTTGACAAACACGGCTATAGACAATCATAACAAAAGTGGTTTTAATCTTCCTGCAGAGTTGATTTTTTAGTCTGGTCTACATAGCAGGGATAACAGCATCCAAGAATCTGTGGATTTTTTTCAATTACGTTCCTTTCCCTCCCTGCCATGACTTCCTCCGAAAACAGGAAATGTCTGTCCTCCAACCCAATCTCCTGCAACTACTTACTCACTTCCATCTTCAGAGGGGGTTTTTTTCAGGGAAATGAAAGAAGACACAAGGATGCCCAGCTGTTCCTCTGTAGATCTAGAGTCAGTGACTGGAATGTGAATGCTTAACCACTGCAGATACACTGACGTCACAGACACAGAAACATCCTCTCTTTCTCTCATTCAGCTTGAACATCTGGAAGAATGTAGCCACAGAGACCCTGGCCAATAACAGAGAGATTATTGAAAGGGAGGTGGGGGGAAGAGAACCATTACATATGGCGCACATCTCAACCCTAATGCAGAACAAGATACATGCCAACAGACAGAAATATACACCCAGAAGGATATATGAATTCACACAAATGCCGATACACCATAGTGATGTGATCTACATTTACATAACAGAAAGGCAGTCTCCTATATTCAGGATCAGTTCTGACTAATGTTGCTCTAACTACAGGCATTGCTCTGGTGAATTGTCTTTGCCTTAATTGTAACTTATGATTCAGACACACACAGAGAGACACACACAAGTATATACAGAGTATGTATCAGTAACAGTATAGCGCACCCCTATAGTATGTTCCTAAGCATTTTTCACTGAACTTAAGCAACAGTTTAATGGAGTTTACTTCGTCGGCTCCTTGAGGTAGGCAGGGTCAGGAAATAGGAATAGCTAGGGGTCTTGGAATGTATTTTAACATGGTTAGGGTATTGTAACAGAATCTTGAAAGTCTGTTACATCCCCTCTCTACTCCAACTTTTACTTAACACAATCCAGTTTTGAATTTCTTTCTCACACTTTCTCCTTTCCCAGGACTCAAATGTTTTTTCTGTACCAGCTTGCCATTCTCTTCCTCCTTCTCTGAGTCAAACCCAATTTCTATCACACCTTCCCTGAAACTCATCATAAAACTGTAACCATGTTGTTTCCTTTTCCAAACAAAAACTGACAAGTATGCCCACATTTTCCAAGTTTTTGCTTCCAGTTAGAGTAGTGCTAAATAATTATATTTAGTCTAAATATAATTGGACTAAATAATTATATTTAGTCCACGAGCACAGAGTCAGCTTTAGAAGCTCCCAGTAGCCGAACATCCTTTGTCATGTAACAAAACACTACGTAGCGCAGAGACAGGCAGTAATCTGTGTCTGGAGCTTGCATTAAACGTTTTTGGGGAGAAGGATGACAGCTCCAGTGGTTATGGGAATGATGCATGGTGAATAAGGGCATAAAATGATAGAACTGGAAAGGCCCACTGAAGTTATCAAGTCCATCCCTTGCTTAGTGCAGGAATCCAAATTGAAGCATCCCAGAGAATTTGCTATCCAGTCTCTGTTTGAACACGTAGTAAAGGGGAGCCCACTCCACCTGGTTAATTGGTCATATTACATAGAAGGAGGGCAATTTTTTTTTTTTTAAGAGAGGGGGACTTTGGGGACTTCTCAGAAACTTTCTAAAACCTATTCTAGAGGTTACATTACAGTTCTGCTGCGTTTCCTGCCTAAGAATGGTATGACACTGGGCCAACAATTTTCAGCTATTGTGGTTAGAAGACAGTTTCAGAGACTACACTAAAGGATTTGGTGACCACATGCTGTTGCTTACTCTTCACACACAGCAATGCAACATATAATTGTACTCCCAAATCCCTGTCCGAACAGTTGGCAAGAATCTGCACACTGTTGGAGACCTTAAGAGTGCCTCATCAAAGGATAGACAGTCCGGTCAGGTGAGTAGGCCCAGCAACGCAACCCAACTCTACAGAATTCCACAACTCTTTCTTGTTTCTCTTCTCAACTTCATCCCTATAGTTACAGCTTCTGGTGGACGGAGATACCATAAGGATCCAGAGGATGAACAGCATCAAATGTCAAAGTTGTAAGGAGATGGAGTTATGAGCATCCCTGAATCTCAGATGTTCACATCCTGGCTCAACACAGTAGACCACATGGTAGCCAAAATAACCTAGGATCAAAAATCCTCATGAGCTTGTTTTGCTTTCTTCAAGTATCTGAGCTTTTCAGGCCAAGATCAGAACTCACCGATCATAAATATATGTTTGAGAACAATTCTTGAAAAGAGCTGTGTTCTCTCCCCAGCTGTTCTTGTACTGGGTATGGCTACATACCAGGCGCAAATGCTATACATGCAGTCCTTCCAGAGTGCAGGAAAATCTTCACCTGTTTATTCTCTGTTCGAGCCCAGTGGCAGAAAGAATTGTAAGACTGAGAAGGGATTAATTCTTCCCAAAAAGGAAAAAGAAAGGTGGGGGCTTGGGGGAAACACTGCTTTTTATCCTGCAGTGCCTTCTAGAGTCCATAAGCTCCAGTTACATCTCTTTCAGGTGGGAAAGGGTTCCGTTCCTGACTGGTTCAAACTACACACTTTTCCTCAAGAGACCTCAGAAATTTTTTTTAAAAACCTGCATTTCAGCCTCTAAAGTCACGAGAAACTGTAAAATCAAACCAATTATTTTTTCCTCTTGGATCTTTTTTTTTCCTCATGGTCTTCCAGAGTCAGACTAGTCTCATTCGCAGAATAAAGATGGTGGTTCAGAAATTCCATCAGTAAGAATATCCCAGATTGCTCTTGGCACAACTAACCAGATGTGATGCCCACCCAGATTTTGCTGCTCCCATCATCCCATACAACCAACAAAACCCCATGCTTGTCACCCCTTAGTGGGCACCTATTTGAGCATATTTTGTTTTACACTGTAAACTCACTCAAAACAAGGTACCCTAGCTAAGGAATAAAATGGAGCTTAGGATGACGTTAAAACGCATTTATATTGTGTTCTGTTCAGTCAGGCTTATGAGCGGCTGGCTGCCCTCCTGCCTTGAAAATGCTTTAAAATAAATTAAGAGTGTTGCTTTGAGCCTGGTATGGCCCTGGCAGCCCACATTGCTTACTGCTGTCTAGATGCTAAGGGGGGGGGAGTGAATGGATGTTAATGGGATGTTAATGGGGGGTGGCAGGGTTCGGGTCCCCTGGGTGTCAGGCTCTGCTGCATCCCTTCTTCCAACTGTATCCCATTAACAATTTGTCAATGAAGGAAAGGCAGAGATTCTTTTTTTCCAGAACCCAAAACTCAGAAGCAGTTCCAGGACAGCCCAAAATTGTCTTCCCCACCACCAATCATGAAATACCAATAAGACTGTTTTTTTCAACCTTCGCAACTTTAAAATGCGTGGACTTCAACTCCCAGAATTCCCCGGCCAGCATGCTTTAAGATGTGTGGACTTAAACTCCCAGAATTCCCCAGCCAGCATGCTTTAAGATGTGTGGACTTAAACTCCCAGAATTCCCCAGCCAGCATGCTT